GCTGATTTTTTTTTTAAATATTAGTTAGACGTTAGGTCTATAGCAATATCTCAATATTTAATTTTTTTACATTTTATTAAAAATATTAATTATTTTTAAATTTTAAATAAAATGTAAAAAAAAAATCTAAGATAGCTATTTTGTAGAGTAGAATTTAAGAAAAATTTTAGTAAAAAAATATCTTATTAATATTCAGTAGTAAATATTCTGTAGCGTTTTGAAGTTTGTGAAAATTTGAATTTTCATGTACTATTTTACGGTATTAAACATTGAAATACGTATTGAGAAAAGGACAGAAGAAAACGCTATCTTTTCAATATACTTTTGAATGAGAGTGATAAGTAATAATTGCCTTATCTAATTTCTTATCATGGTATTTATGCCAAGTTTGTAATGTATACACACTATCATCATATGTATACACAGTAATCATGAAAAGATAGCGTTTTCTTCTGTCCTTTTCTCAATACGTATTTCAATGTTTATAACCGTAAAATAGTACATGAAAATTCAAATTTTTACAAACTTCAAAACGCTACAGAATATTTACTACTGAATATTAATAAGATATTTTTTTACTAAAATTTTTCTTAAATTCTACTCTACAAAATAGCTATCTTAGATTTTTTTTTTACATTTTATTTAAAATTTAAAAATAATTAATATTTTTAATAAAATGTAAAAAAATTAAATATTGAGATATTGCTATAGACCTAACGTATAACTATTATTTAAAAAAAGAATCAACTAAAAATATTAACTGGATCAAAAGTTATTTAAGTTGTCAGTGAGTAGTGGGCCACTCTATATATATATATATATATATATTCTATTATTGATGTTATTTTGATAAAACAATGGGTGTTCCTACACAATTCGCATGCACTTATTATTATTTTTAGATTTTTATATACCAAGTCCTAATTAAAGGTATTTTAATTCAATCAGTAAGCCAGTAGCTGAGGAGGGGGTGCGCGCCCCCCTCTGGATCCGCCACTGCTACTACTTCACTTTATGAACTTTCAACGAATTCAAGAAGTGGCTTGGCAAAATACGATTTTACATAAAAAATAATGTATAGTCATTTTTTCAACCTTACTCCTGACATCATTAACCCTTAAACATTTGCGTGGGGGTCTAGCATACCCCCACATAAATAAAAACGGATGTATTATATTGCATAAAATGTGTCCATAGATATAATTTTAGAAGATGGTTTTTATAGTAATACTGAATGGATTTTCATAAATATATACCTTCGAAAAAAAATGTATGACTTAAAATATTCATCAAAATGAAATGGGTCATATTTACCCCCACGCGACTTGTAACGTTATAATGTTTTTTTAGACTTGTATTTTTTTCAAAATATTGTTTTATCGTAAATGCAATGTTATAATTTATATAATATTGTAAAATTGGAATTATGTGGATCTGCCACCGACTGTGCAATTAAGTTTTAAAAATAAATAATCTATTGAGAATTTCCACTACTCGATGATACGGAACAAATAAGAATAAAACATGTAATAAATACATCGCGTATATTTAACAGTATGCATAGATTTTTGGGAGAAAAATCAATGTTCATCAGATTCAGAATAATTGTATATACTCGTATTATAATAATTAAATGTATTGTAATATTAATAATAAAAAAATTCAATTCAGAAAAATGATTATATAAATGTAAATATACATAAAACTAATAAATATAAGCCGTGTTTGAGCTCAAAGAAATACAAGAAAAATTAATTAAAATACATTTTGTAATAGTAAAAGCTTATGTTTATTGTCTTAAAAATAAGATTTTGCAATTAAAATAATTTTTTTACAAACCAAAATTTTTTAATGAAATTTTGAAAATTAAAATTTTTTTTTTTTCGTAATATAATTTTTAGTAATGCACATAATTTTGTAATTTATTTATTTTTTAATTTGTATTATTGAATTTTTATCCATATTTATATATCATATGGTAACAAATAATGTCTTAGAATTAAAAAAAATGAACTTCTTTATGTATATTTTATACTTTATTAGAAATGGGGTCTGATAGACCCCCATGCGACTATGAACGTTAAAAATAGGCACGCGCCTGCTAAAGGGTTAAGCTAAATTCATATTTCACAGAATACTTATGTAATAATACAAAAATAAAAATAAAAATAGGTGGTTTATTTGTATTGTGTACTAGGCTCCACCTAGGTGTACTGTACTAGCCCCAGACCTAGGGCCTTACGAGCTTTACGCTCCTTCGGCGCGTAAACCCCTTCAGGCCGTCATTATAAGTAGGCCACGATAAGTGTTTTGCAGAAAAAACATTATATCAGAATCAGTGTAACAAAAATATATTAAAAATGTTATTATGAAAATCAGGAAAATTCAAAAAGAGAATATAGTAAAATGTATTGGGTATAAGGTTGACGTTTGTTAATGAGGTATTCCCTTTTGGCATATTCAAAAATGATTTTAGGAGGGTATTTAATAATTTTTACTTTGTTAAACATGTTATACAATTTTTTTTGCTAAAAATCAAAGTAATGATGAAAAAAAGGACATTAGGTCCTTATTTATTAGAAGTTGGCTAAAAAAATATTAATAGCGCTGGTTCAAAGGGGGCCCATATCTCCTTTAAATACACCCCTGGTCTACACAAAAATTATTAATACTCTAATTATAATAATTGTGTTTATATTATACAATAATTAAAAAAAAATTCAGCAGGTTATTATACGTGCGACTATGTAAAAAATTTAATTTTGATAAAAATATTGGTAACTGCGATGTAATGTTGGACAGCATAGTTGTCATAGATGAATCCCAATTTAAACGATAAACTCATACATTATATATGAAAAAAAAGATTATTAATAGTGTGCTGTTCTGATAATAAAAGTACAAACTTATATAATTATAACCGTCTTGAAATTTATATATAACATATATATACCAGTTTATAAAAATGTTTAAAAGAGACTGGAATAACAATAAAAAACACAACGCCATCATCAAACACTCATTTCTATAAATAGCTATTTTATGGTGTTCCACAAAAAAACATTTTCGAATTTTCTAAATTCTGAAAAATAACTAGCATTCATTATTAGTAAAAAGAGACTTATGCATTTTTTCAAATTTTTTAAAACTCGTTTAAAAATAAAAAAATTGACTTAAATTTTAAAATAAAAAAAAAAATTTTTGTAATTAATTCATCATTTAAGCTAATATAATTTTAGTAACTTATTGGTACTAATAGAAGTATTAAAATTAATTTTAAACCAATTGAGATTCTATTTTTGACTATAATTTATGCTGTAAAGGTGTTAAAATAGTTTTCTTTTTGTTTACTTAAATCGTTAAAATTAAAAAAAAAATGATTTTTCTATTTCAATTGTACACAATAGTTTACTTTAAGAATGTATTTACATATAAAAATATCAACCAGTACAGTTTTAAATAATTACCTATGTTATATAACAATAAAAACAAAAATGTCTAGTTTTTTAAAAAAAATTCTAGTTTTCTAGTAGGTAACTTATAAAGGATCATCAGGGACGTATCAAGGGGGGCAGCGGTGCCTACGCCTCAGGCACAATATTTGTTAAAAATTGTTATATCTAATACGTTTTGAATACAACTTCATTATACAAGTACAAGTACAACTCATAATTAAATTTTTGTATATTGCCAACAAAGTAATATACATAAATACATAAATATACATTTCTCTACATATAAAAATTGTTGAACTGGATATTTTTATCAATGTAAAATAAATGATCTACGTATATAATTAATAGAAAATATTATCGTTGTCATGCTGCCCTCCTAATGCTCATCTATAAATCTATAATTATAATGTAAGTATTTCTTTTTCTGAGTATTATGTCATATAACTAATGTACTGTTTCAATCATAAAATAATATTATTCATTTGATGATGTATCATGCAAATACTAACATTCCTCTATATTTCGGATATTTATATGTTTTTTCTAATTTTGTTATGAATAAATTATGAAAAATTATAAAATAATTAGGACCAGTATGTTGCATCATCTTCTCTCTATGTCTGCATTGCCACCGCCCTCTTATGGTTTTTTAGTTATAAACTCTATGGCGCTTGCAAGCCAATAGTTTCTAGAGAGGTTTTTACTTTGATGGTCAATTTCACATTGTAAAAAACTCGATGAGAGAATTTTTTTTTTTTATTATAGTCAACATTAAAAGCTTAAATATGATATAGATTTAAAAAACGAAATATTTTATTAATTGAAATCAAATTATTAACAATCATTTCTTTTTATTCACAAAACGAAAAGTATACATTTACAAGTATAAGGAAAATTATTCAAAAGCAAAATAAAATAAAACACGTATGTACATGATAATAATTTTAGATAAAAACAAAAAAATAGTAATTATAGAAAAAAAAAATCAGAAAAAAAAGATTAAACAGAATAAAACAAATATATAATTAGAAAAATATAAATATAGATTAAACACTGAAAGTTAAAATAGAGCATCTGAAAATCAAGTATTGTCTCTTCTATCATTCATTTCTACCACATTTTTTCCGCTCACCATGTTACCAAAGCTTGTACAGAAAAAATTACAGAATTTTACTCTTGTTTATAACTTACTATTATTAAAAATATATATAAAAAAAAATACCCTCTTTAACAGCATTATTCTTTTTTTGTTCTATTTTCTCAATACTTGTGAAAGGTGTAGGTTCTGGCTCATCAAATACCTCATCTAATACATTTTTTATACTAATTCTTTTAAAAACTTGTGTTTTTCCACTTCTATTGAATATTCTACTAGGTGCAACTATTACAAGATCTCCAGCTAAATCAGATTCTGTAGATTTGTCAATTTTAATTGACTTATTATTATCATCGGTTAATAATACTGTTGAACCAAAACAAGTACAACTTTTACAATGTTTTCGGCAAGGAGAATCATAACTTAAATATTAAAATAATTTTAGTAAACTAACCAATAGGATGTGTTATTTTTTGTCTTGATGGCTGAAGAAATTTACTTGAACTATAAGAACTCAAAATTTCATTATTGCGAGTTTTAGGTTTTTTATATGAATGATGACTATTAACATCAGTATCACTCTGTCTCTTATTTCTAAAATGAAAACAGAATACATATTAATATTTAATCACGCATAATTATTAATTAGGAACTCAAAAATTGCTCATTATTGCCAAAATCTGCTTCCAAATTAGATCTATTCACAATTCATACAGATTAATATTCTACTAAAAATATAAAAATAACAACTGTAAAAATCAAAAAATTATTTTTAATGAATAATAGATATTTTAGAGTTTTATTTTTGTACCTCTTTTTTAAGTTTTATAAACAACTATTTTATTCATTAAAAATAAAAATCATAGCAATAGTAACTTTAAAATTTTGATAAACCTAATAAATAAATATTTATTAATAAATGTTTAGGAATCATTAAAAATCAATTTTTCTTGATTAAAAATAAGGCAACTTATTTTATAATTTTATGTTACTAAATATATGTTAAAATAGTTATTAAATACTGGGAAAATACTGAACTCTATTAAAATATTAAAATTTCATATAGTTAAAATGTTAATTATTGTTATTATATAAACCCTCGCCCAAAGCTATAAATTATATTATGCAAAAAAACTTTCCTAAATTAAAGAGTTATTTTGGTAATTTTTTTTTCAATGTTATACACCTTAACAGATGATGTTGTGCAGTATTACATTTTAATACATGTAATAATTAATACTTATATTTAATAAAATATATCACCAAATCAGTGTTCCCCCATGGATAAGATGAGTAATAAAATAATACCCTTACACAAGATTTAACCACCCTATTACGCATTCCATAAAACGCCCACGTAAAAGATCCTATCACATTAACCAATCAAATACAGCAAAAAATATTTCAAGAATCTCACCAGAGATCGCTAAACCAGTTTTGCGGGCTATAAAAAGGCCATTTTCCCCCAAATTCTGGGCTTCGCTTCTCTTACAGTGGTTCTTTTACTGCGTGATTCTTTCGCGGTTTCTGAATATCCCTCTAGCGGACACTGGGTCGCCTTGCCATTCTATCTCTGCATCTCTACGGCTCTCTGCAACTCTCAACTAAGATACACAAAGTGAATGTGCGTGAGTTTATGTTTCATTCTTAGTTACAATTCTATATAAAATCTGCACTATTTTTACCCTCTTTCGTAATTATTGAAAATATTATACATCTTATTTTCGGTCGAATACTTTTGGTGATATAAATATTCTAACACATATAAAATATTGGTGTTTATTTATTTCTTTTTATCTACATTTATATATATATATAAGCATACTAAAAGGTTACATGACTTGATTGCATTATGTTCTATTACTTATTGAAGCGCCACATCCTGGCTGGACAGAGTACTAGCACAATAATATCATAGTTAATACTCCAACTAATTATAAGCGTTCTTTAAAGTGTCTCCCCACTTATCGACTAGCTATTCTGATCTCTGCCACAGTGCGGGCAATCGGAGTGTAGGACACTTATATAATTTATAACACATTACTTATTAATATTATTTCGTAATATACATTAGACATTCTAAGGTACTTGATTTAATTGAATTGTATCTATTACTTATTGAAGGGTCACAAACTGGCTGGACAGGGTACTAGTACAATAATATCATAATTAAAATTTTAGTTAATCACAAGATTTCTTCAAAGTATCTCTCCATTTATCGACTAGCCAGTCTGATCTCTGCCACAGTGCGGGCAATCGGAGTGTAGGACACTAACATAACTTATCGTGCATAAATCTATAGTACAGTCGCATCTAACCTAGGTCGTCCTACAGGTGATTGAAAAGAAGTAGGCCACATATCACAAGGATCTTTGCATAAAGACAAAGATATTATTTGAGATCTCGCGTTGGTATATCCAGCTATGAAATACAAATAAATCAGAGTCGAAATATTATACTAATCAAATAAACAACTAAAAAGTGTCTCTCCACTTATCGATTAGCTAGTCTGATCTCAGTCACAGTGCGGGCAATCGGAGTGTAGGATACTAGTATAATCTATTATGCAAAGAACCGAAATTGAGCTCGCATCTACCCTAGATCACTCTTTGGACGACTGAAAAGACGTAGGCCACTTGGAAATAATTTGTTGCACAGGACAGTTATGTATTTGAATTTCTTTATTTGCTTTATAAATTATTAAATAATAAATATATTAAAGTAAAACACTATATACACGGTTAAAGACTATACTACACAAATATACAAAAGGGTTTTACAAAAAACAGAGTTATAATAAACTTAGATTTCACCTTGGGTAGATTTGATATAGAATTGTACTAAAAAAGTAGTTACACGCAAGTTAATAATAATATAAACCGTATAAATATAATTGCGTACATTAATGCATACACGTATACATCGATAATTGTTACATCAACTACATCATTCATCTCAAGAGAATATCTGCCTTATCAGGATAGTCAGAGGTAAGTGAAACATTTGTTTATATAATAAGTCTATAATAGATCCTTTACTGAAGAATTTTTAGTAATAAACAATTAGAACAAGATAGGTCATTGAGAATAAACTAAAATATTTTTATAAAGAAATACGATACTTGTGACTCGCCGGAAATTAGTGTACGCGTTTCTGTGCAGGAGTTAGGTAGTGACCCTTCTTTATAATTCCATATTATTCACATATTAGACGTCTTTACACAAGCATACATACCCCGAGATCCCTTTCTATTTCATTTTATTGTAGTCACTGCCTGGTATCTATAGCCACTTTTACTTTCCATTGCTGCCCATCCTTTTTACACTACGCCTGCTACGATTATTATTTCCTCATTGACCACCTGTGTTACATTTCTTTCCTTTCACACCTAACAACATCCCTTTGCTACCGCCACTACCATTTTACTTCTTTTTTTTTTATTACAGTTGATGGTGTTTCATATTTTTAATATATTTTTTTTTGAACCAAATTTTTAACACAAAAATCAAAATTTTACTATCCAGTAAGCAAGCTTCTGTATAACTTAATAAAAAATTTATTATATTATAAGTCAAATTATTACTATAATAGTTAATTTATGGATAAACTAATTTTATGATTTCCTATACATATTAATATAAAAAGTATTTTAAATGTTTAAAAAAGTAAATTATTATATGCTTACTGTTTTTTATCAAAAATAACATGATTATTCTTTGGTGTCGTATGTGGTGAATGTGACATTTCTCTATTTGTTTTATCTATACCATTCAATGGAATAATTCGGTCAATTGACTCAATAGTTTTTGTACGGCAATTTACAAAATTATCAAAATCAAACTATTAAAAAAAAATTAATTTTAGTATATTTATGATAAATGTCTTTACTTTATTAAATTTTATTAACATAGAAGTATACCTCTTGGCTAGTTTTGTTTCTTACACCAAAAATTTCTAATGTTTTCATTAATTTACGCTTTTTATCATTAGGATTTTCTCTACCTAAATTTTGAAACTCATGTGGAGAAGAATTACTGTTACTAGAATTGTATCTAAAAAAAGTTATTTTTCAAATTAAAAGTATTTCCTATTAAAAAATTTAATTATGTATCAAATATTATAAGAGGAACTCATGAACAACATAATTTCTTAATATAACATACTCTGAAGCATACGATACTGATAAATTTGAAATATCAGAAGTTGGCGTTGTAGATCTCATTTCTCGAGCTCTTTGAGCTATTCTATAACTAAATCCAGGACTTGTTACTTCAGCTATATTATAATTTGGTCTGCAAAATAAATGATATAAAATTTTTTATCAAATTAATAATTAATTTTTATACCATACACTTACATAAATGGAGTATTATTTCCATTATTTCTTCGAGAAATAGGCAATTTCTGGTTAAAAATATTAAGAGCTCTTGCCTCAGGACTATTGAGATTTAATGTTTTCTCACTAAGTGGATCCGTAGATTTAACTTTATCTGAATCAGATTTGAAATTAAAAAAATTTAAAAATGAAGAAAACATATCAACAGGATAACAACTATTAAAGTCGAAGATTATAAAAGGCAGTCACAAAAAATAATACGCGGAATAGAAAATGACGATTAATAACACATAAAGCCTTGTTTATAGCATGGACAAATAAGTAAATAACTAAAAAGAAAAGATAAATCAAGTTAAAATTATTAAATTGAAAACTCCGACGAACGGCAGTGATACAAATCAACATGTGGGTAACCAGGAGCAACTAAATTATTAAAATGTGAAAAGTAATCTGTGCAAAATTTAATTTTTAATATATTTTTTTGGTCCTATTAAGTTATTTTTATAAAAGTTTATAATAAAGATAGGTTGAACTTTTGACAAAAATTTTTACTAGCTTAACTTGCTGATCTGAAAACGATTTACCTTAGCTAAAAAAAACAATTAAAAAATATTACATTTTCGAGGGTATTTTTTTACGTATTATTGAATGAAATCAGTTCGATAATAACTGAGAAAAAGTGGTAACAGACACAAAAAAAAAAAATAATAAAATCAATATAGTAAAATAATTTCCTTCTATAACAATAATTGATCAATTGTGACTAATGTTATTTAAAATAAAAATATTATAAATATTTAATTTAATTTTTAGTTAATTACCATTTTAGAAAAAGGTTCAGAATAAACGTATGATCAGAAATTAGTCAATGTGCATAATAAAACCATGCGCGTGGACTTCAAAAAAAAAAAAAGCTCGTAAAACAGTGAAAAATGAACAGATTGAATTGATTTTTTTATAACATCTCAGGAATGTCATTGGGCGGGTCTGATGAAAATTTCAAATCTTAAGTCGTAAAACGCTGGCGTCAGCGAACCTTTTTCTCGAAAACGGTCGAAATTTTAAAACGCTCGCGGGCGAGCTGCAACAATTTTCCGACCTTCGCCAATAATTTTCCCGGAGTCTAGTGACCGAGTACTTTCGTTGAAAAAAAAAATTCTGAAAATCCGAGCACGCTAAGTAATTTTCTCGAAAAAGCGGTTTTTCCTTGTTCTATTATATAATAAGATATTGACCAAGTTTATGTATGTTTGGGGATTTGGTCAATTGGTGAGCAACGAGGTTGTGTCGGGGTTGTAGAGTCCGAGGATTTAGAACAATAAAGACAAGTAGATATAAAAAGTAATAATTAAGGTTCCGCTTATAGAGATATTATAAATGACCCAACTGGTAATAATACACTGAGGTAACAAAGAGACGGTGGCCATCTCACGAATATCATGTAATGTGATTATGTATAAGGTCCGAACTATTGAATAATAATTAATTGAAGTTTAAAGATTAATATAATTATTTGATCTATTACTTTATTGTTCTGTACTCAGATTATTAATTCTAAATAATTGAGTTATAAGATAATATAAGTATTGAATCTTATTGATTTGAAATCTTACATGATTATTTTTCTTTGTTCTTATAATAACTTTTAATAGTATCAAGTAATAACAAAATAACACGAACTCAAATGTTTAGTTCATAAATTAACACTTTAGAATTTCGACAATGATGATTACGAACTATGCGTATCGATGTCGAGAGCGCAATTCGAACAGCTCAATGAATATCTGGAGACAGACTATCTCAAACCCTCAGCCCTGACTGAGAAGGATTACTCAGCCTTTTACAGTATTTTTTATCCCCGAACAATCATTATTGTGTCATTCTTGTAATGTTATCGTTTATTGTTAAGTAAGCATAAAATATGAAATATATAAATTAATACACATGGATAATATAGAAATCATTTTTATACAACGTTAATATAGTTTGTTTTTACATTATAGACTAGGTTTCACACATTGTGTTTATTTATTAAGATAAGAGTAAAAACGGTAGCATAGTGGGGTCGAGGCACAGTGTGGACGAGGCATAGATGGGATAAGTATAGATGATATCTGACAGTGATTAAAATCACTATCATAAGAAACGCTTCGATGCTAATCTGTAGATAGTGTTTCCTTTAGAGAAATTGGTGGATTATTTTAAAAGCAACATCAACTCTTATTTTTTTAATTATATCCTGATTAGTAGCTCTTTTATATTAAAATATAATATATGATTAAATACAAATTCTAGTTTTTAAATGTAATATGAAATTGTGAGGCCAGCTATGATGTATGGTTCATAGTGTTGGGCGGTTGATAAGAAAGTAGAGCAGAGAATAAGTGTTGCAGAGACGAGAATGCTTAGTTGGATGAGTGGAGTGACTAGAGAAGATAAAATAAGGAACGAGTATATAAGAGTGAGTATAAGTGTAGTGTCAATTGTGGATAAGATGAGAGAAAATAGACTTAGATGGTTTAGTAATGATATGAGAAGAGAGGAATCGGAAGCTCGAAGAATAGTTATAGAAATGAATGTTGAAGGAAGAAGTGATAGAGGAAGACCAAAAAAGAGACGGAGGAATGTTATTGAATGCGATATAAAAATGGCTGATGTGAGCGTAGATGATGTGGAAGATCGTGTCAAGTGGAAGTTTAGGATAAGGGTGGGTAATCCCAAGTAGTTGGGATTAAGGCAAGGAAAAGGAAGAAGATTACTAGAAATTCCGGTGGCATTTGATATAATATGATTGTTGTTTGGCAATGTACAATTTAGCGTTAAGTTGGTTTTAAACAATATAGAATTTTTTAACTTTTGCGAGGCTGTAAAAAAAAAAAGCTCAATTCCAATTAATAAGGACTATTATTATGTCATTATACATATCTTAATTCAACTTAAAAAAAAAAAAAAAATTGGTTCGGAATTTTTTCTCTCATTTTTCCTTTGTTGACTGGCCTAGATGTCAATTTTAAACTTGTAATTGAGCTTAAAATAATGGTAATATATTCAATTTTTTTTACTATAAACTTTCACAAATCTTTATCAAACATTTTTCATCAACTTTAAAGAACCAAAAAATAGGTTAAAAAAAAATTTGGACTGATTATGTTTAACATATTAAAAATCAAATCAGTAATAATTTGTAAACAAATTTTTTTTTCTTTTAATTATTATTAGCTTCGATGCGAAGCTGAGAAGGTATTGGTTTTACTAAGATGTGTTTTTTCTTTTTTTTTTTTTGTGTCTGTTACCACTTTTTCTCAGCTCTCACCGAACCGATTTCTTTCAATGATACATCAAAAGATCACAAATCGTATCTAGTCGAAGACGTTACCCTCAAAAANATACGTCAAAAGATCACAAATCGTATCTAGTCGAAGACGTTACCCTCAAAAATTGAAAAAAATTCCCTCGTTCCCCGTAAATGGGGGAAACCTCCAAAAAAATTACAAATTTAAAAATGGCTAATTTTCGAAATTTTTTCAATTTTTTTTACTAAAAACTGCCGTAACTTTTTTAAAAATAAACATATCAATATCATTTGGTATATTTTATTTTATAAATTTGACTTTTTACCTGCCCACAGGGGGGGATTTTAAATGACAACTTTTTTACAAAAAATTAATTTTTTCAACTTAACTTTTGAAAGTGTTCCGGAAGGTCTGACACTTTTATATATATCTTAAATTAAAGCTAATGTAATATACTTTATTCTGAAAAAAAAAAAATTTCGGACCTTATTCTGTCTTCACGGTGAAAATGGCTACCAAACACTATTATTGTGTGAAAATTATTGATTTTATTTTTTACATTTTTAACTTTATAATGCTATAACTTATTGAAAAGTGTATTGATCAATATAATTTTTTTATGGGAAATACTATTTTTTAATAATCCCTTTTTCATTCGACATACTTTATCTTAATCAGGATATTAATAAGGAACTAGCAGTTTATGAAGCTTTTGGAATAATCCACCAATTTTTTAAAATTAAACACTATCTAAAGATTTGCATCGAAGCGTTTTTTTTTTTATAGTGATTTTAATCACTGTCAGATATCATTATACTTGATCCAACTATGCCACGTCACCACTGTGCCGCGACCCCCCTGTGCTGGGTTTTTTTTATATTTAATTAGTAATAATATTAAAAATTAGAAGTGATAGAAAAAGTCTAATTGCAGATTTGAAAACAACGCGAAAAGTTGATTTAGAAAAGTATATTTTATGCTTCTGATGAAAGTTCCTTGTAGTCCAGTTCATTTATTTATAGTAACAAACAGTAAATGTTTATAATAAAAAAAAATTATTTATTTTACCATAACTTTTAGCTCAATTGGCAAGTTTGAAATTGACATCATTAAATAGAAAATTTTATCAGAATTAAAAAAATTGTATCGTTTAGATTAATATGCAGTCAGAAAGTTTTATAATTACTATTTATTGTCAATTTATCAGAAAAGCTCAATATTTTTTTGTATTTTTATGGTAATAGATAACTTAAATAGAAATAATAGTAATAATTTCCTAGTAACTTTTGGTGTTTGAAAAGATTCTGCAATTGAAATATTCAGAACTTAATAATTAATAATTAAAATTAATTATTAATTTTAATGATTTACTTTAACTAAATGAACCAATCAAAACAAAGTTGTTAGAAAGATTTACTCAAATGAGCGTATAATAAAATTCGATTATAATTGTAAAAATCCGTTATTAATTCAGGAGAAAAAACAATCATTTTTTTTAGAAATGATTTATATAGCAACATGTTCCAAAAAATTTGTAATATTATAGTCTAGTAGTAGCACACACAAATAGAGTAAAAAAATTATTAAATTACAAAGTAAAATGATTTAATATTGTAGTTGAAACCTATCATATCAAACTTGATTCGTCAATAAATACTTTGAAAACATTAGAAATTAATGATTTTAATTGTTTGTATGGAGAATATGGGATAACTAAGTGTTTAATTGATATATTAGAATTTTTTTTTCAATTTTTGAGGGTAATATCTTCAACCTAGATACGAATTGTAGTCATTTGACGTATCGTTGAAAAAAGTAGGACAAGTTAGAGCAGAGAAAATAAATGATAGTCACAAAAAAATACCTTCTCAGCTATGCATCGAAGCTAAAATCTAAAATATACTAAAATAATTTTAATACGAATAAGAAATTTCTTCTTGTAAGGGGCGACTAAAGTGATGGGATCCTTGATCTTTATTGAAGTTATTGAATCTAAATGAGATAAAAATCAAACGAGTTAAAAATGTATACTAACTTAAAAAAAATTAAGAAAAAATGCAAAAAGTTCATTGTTATACGCGTATATTCCATAAGCTTTAATTTATTATATATATAAAAGTGTCAGTATTTCCGGAATACTTTCAAAAATTAAATTGAAAATATCTTAAGAACAATAGGCATGTTTAAAGTATTGACCCTCCTTGTTAAAGGGGTATGATCCGATTTACAAAAAAAGCGTGCCAGATGAAAGGGGTATATAAATATTTATTATAAAAAAATAATAATATTGATCCATACATTTTTCCAAAAGTTATATAAAATACAGGGTGGCCCACCACTCACTGACAATTTAAATAACTTTTGATCCAGTTAATATTTTTAGCTGATTTTTTTTAAATAATAGTTATACGTTAGGTCCATAGCTATATCTTAATAATTAATTTTTTTACATTTATTAAAAATATTATTTATTTTTAAATTTTAAATAAAATGTAAAAAAAAAAATCTAAGATAGCTATTTTGTAGAGTAGAATTTAAGAAAAATTTTAGTAAAAATATATCTTATTAATATTCAGTAGTAAATATTCTGTGGCGTTTTAAAGTTTGTGAAAATTTGAATTTTCATGTACTATTTTACGGTATTAAACATTGAAATACGTATTGAGAAAAGGACAGAAGAAAACGCTATCTTTTCAATATACTTTTGAATGAGAGTGATAAGTAATAATTGCCTTATCTAATTTCTTATCATGGTATTAATGTCAAGTTTGTAATGTATACACATTATCATTATATGTATACACAGTAATCATGAGAAGATTATTTAATTATTGAGATTTAGCNAAAATAATTAATATTTTTAATAAAATGTAAAAAAATTAATTATTGAGATATAGCTATAGACCTAACGTATAACTATTATTTAAAAAAAAAATCAACTAAAAATATTAACTGGATCAAAAGTTATTTAAGTTGTCAGTGAGTGGTGGGCCACTCTGTATTAATTAAATAATATAAAATATAAAATCGAGAATTTTTTCACGGATATCGTACGTTTTTCTGTAACTTTGATGTCCGTTTGCACCACGAAGACAAGTCCAGAGGTCAAATTTTTTTTTTACAAATTAAAGTAT